TAACCAAACTTTATTTAGCCTAACCTGACCAAGCTTAACCTAACCTGATCAAGCTTAACCTAACCTGATCAAGCTTAACCTAACCTCACTAAGTTAACCTAACCTAATTTAACCACTGAGCAAAATTAGAAAATCAGGCTTGTCTTAAATAAATGTTTCGTTAAATTTCAATTAGTCGATTAGCTAAGATTAACCACCCTATTGCTAACCTAAATTAACCTCATTCCCGAAAATAGAGGTTGGGGTAGTTAATCTCTAGGTGAAATAAACTGAGGTGGATATTCATCAGGTGATCCCGAATATCTAACACTATTTAATGGTTTCTGTCTCAATATTCCTTCCTTCTTGTGTGAGGCGAAAAAGCCGGGGTGGAGTCCCTCTCAAACACTTCTCTTCCCGGCGTACTCTTTTCCTCCTCCACCGCCCGCACACGGCTCACTGGCATCAAAGTGCCTCAACCCCGACACTTATACTCCCAGAGTTTAATAAACGCCTGGCAGAAGGTGTTCGATAGCACTCGCCCACCCGCACGCACGCACACACACACACACGCAGGAGATTCGGATACCGTCTCCAAAGCCAGTGCGGTGAAGCTCTCTTGTTTCATTGTTCCTCTGATATGTTTCTCTTTTTTCTTTATATCTGTCGATCCATAGAATACTTCATTATCATCGGTTTGGTGTTTATTCTTGGAAGCAGGTGAACAAAGTAATAAGAAATAATGAGAAAGAATGAGTAATGCAAGTATTGCAGGGCTAAATATTGACTTTGCTATTCCATCAGATTATTGCATTTAATGGGTGCAAGAAAGGCTTTGATCTGATGCTCATTTGTCACTTATCATCTACTGGTGGAGCTTCAAGAGTTTATGACTGTCCTGGGTTATGGCACTTATTGCTGCTATCCAGAGTGAATAAACATATTTATTTCATTTTCACGGATCATCTGATTATATTGTTGCATTCAAACTTCTTCTCCTTAACACGAATCACCATGGCTTAGTTGGTTTACCAATAACAATAAAAATTAAAGACAACAATAACCTAACTTAACCTAACATTAACCCTTTTTGTTATTATATAATCATCACAAACTCGTAATTACCTTCCTCTCTCATCCTCATCTTTATACATATGCAGTATGTATATTAAATAAAATCATCACATCTTAATATTTTTTTACGACACAGAATAAAAAATAAAAACACATTCGTAATCCTCCCCCCCCCCCTCCTCCCCCCCACCAAAAAAAATCGTCCGCGTTTCTCATAATTTTTCTCATTAGTCAGGGCGTCGCGAAATAGAGCTGGCAGGTGTGAGGGAGTATAAGCCTTGTGCAGGGGGGCGGGAGGGTGACAACTGTGTATACTCGCTCACTGCAATTTTCCCCAAGTATTTACCTTCGCAACCGTGAAGTCACACTGGGTTTCTGAAGTTCACTCTGTGTGTGTGTGTGTGTGTGGACTGCAAGATGAAAAACAGAGACAAGTGTAGAGACGAGGCCAGGCAGCGGCAGACCACATGCTATAACGCCTGAGGACGATCACAGGAAGCAATACAACAACGTCTGCTGTACACTTGTGATCCTCGAACTATCAGTCCAAGTTTTCACCCAAACAACATATTGTACACTGCTACTTCCCGGCAATAAGAGACGGGTGTTTTTGGCGCCCACAATACTTAGTGACACCTGTAAGCCACCATGACCCAAACACTTCCCATCACTTACAAAGCTTCATAACACAAACGGTTTTACAGTACAGTACTTTTGAACACTTTACGTTACTTACGAACACGTTATGATACACATGTTCACTTCCCAATATTTATGGAAACTTTACGGCACTTAAAAGTACGTTATTGAAACTTAAGACCACTTTGAGACACTTAGAACTAATTTACGACACTTATTAACACTTTGTGACACTTGCGAAAGCTTCAAGACATTTACAAACACTTACCTCCACTAAACTGACGACACTTCGCTATACTTTGCAGATATCGTCAAATCCATTCTCTTCACCGGCTACTTGTTTGGAGCTGGCGGACGTCCACCCCACAAGGGATCACAGCTCAAGGTTGAAGAAGCCACAAGTCCAGAAAACTGTGAGGGCGAATCTTTTCGGAGTGAGAATTGTGAACTCTTGAAACAATCTGCCAGAGTGTGTTGTGACGACACCGAGTGTGAGCTCTTTCAAGGTCAGACTTGACCAACACTGGAGCAGGTTCCGATATATTCAGGAGCCAGCGCATGCCCATTATCCGCCAACAATGCGTATCGAGACGTGACCGACCGCCCAAGCGGCTAACGTGCCGATCAGTGGCGAAAAGAATAAAAGTATATAGTAAGCCTTCTGTACTTCCTTACCCGCACTAAGGCAGAGACAGCACTGCGACTGTGCGAGCCCTCTGTTGACATTCTCATAAATCCGAAGCCGTGAAACGAGACAGATTCAAGACGTGACCAAACCCGCCAGTGCCATGAAGGACTGAGTTGGCTCGTATTTTACTTCTTCGTTTTTCAACACATGTGTCTTTAGATATCTTTGTCTTTATCTCTTCTAATTATAAAGTATAAGGCAATATATTTCACAAGATTATATGCTAATATTTTAGTTCGTAAAATGGTTCGATTTTGGATGATTGAGTCTGATGTGTCGAAAAGCTGTTCCTGAACCCTGGAAACACTTACGTCATCGAGGGAGCGGTATACACTACCTGTCCTTTTAATGTTATAGTTTTATTGTCAATAAAGTATTTCAATTTCAATTTCAATGCGTCATCGATATCTCAAAGTTGTGTCAGTCAACTGGTGACAAAAAATATCCCAAACTGTTTACATTGTTTATACCCGCTTTATTTGCTTGACTCAGGGAATAACACTTCGCCTGGTCTGGGGAGATACTTATGTACAGGTTAGGTTAGGTTAGGTTGGTTAGGTTAGGTTAGCGTCAGGGTGGTTAGATTAGGTTAGCGTTAGGGTTAGCGTCAGGGTGGTTAATTTAGGTTCACGTTAGGGTTGTTATCTTACGGTGAAATAAATTAAGGGATAAGCTAATCTTCAGGTGATCTTAGACCCACAGCCTTACCTGGTTAAGAGAACTTCCACGGGAAATAATTTAAGACAGGTAACATTGACTGAGAAACGATAATAATAACAATAATAATAAAAGTGTTGATCGTCTTCGCAAATAGACGATTAGCCTGTTTTCCGGACCACTTTATCACCTGTGACTCATCTCATTATCGTAAAATTTCGTTCATTAGATCCTCCGAAACAAGTCCACCCCTCAAAACTAATCTAAAATATAAAGTTCCTCTCTGTAAGTGCGTAAGATGATAGTAAAGGCTGGCGCCCCTTCCTCCCAGACCAGTTTCCAGGAAGACGAAGAATATGCAATTTAAGATCCACCAAATTGACGCGATCACTTCCGTTGACGCCCTCGAGCTCTCCTACACCAGCGAGGGGAGAAGACCTGCTGCCTACCTGCTGGGGGAAGTACCTGCAGGGGTCACCAGGAGGAGGAGGAGGGAGGGGGAGATAGGAAGAGGGGAGAGAAAGAGGAAGAAGGGAGAGATTGAAAGAGATGGAAGAGGAGGAAGAAAAGGAAGTACAGGAGGAGAGAAAGAACGAGAATAAGAAAGAGGAAGAGGAGGAATATGAGGATAGAAAATGAGGAGAGAACGAGAAGTGGTAGAGGAGAAGAAGAGGAGGAGATAGAAAAAGAGAAGGAGGTTTTCTAGTTTAACAAATTTATTGGCAGAGCTTGTAGTACAGTTTGCCTATTCTGAGTAATTCAGTCAGGTCTTGACACTGAGGGTGGTATCACTTCTCACTGTCACGCAGGACAGAGGTTCACACACAAAGAAATACATCATATTCATTAACAACTATAAATGTATATACATGTAGGTCAGGTTCATATGGATAATGTCACTGTTCACTGCCATGCAGGACAGAGGTTCGTACACAAAGAAGGAAATACATCACATTCACCAGCAGCATATATAGGTCAGTGGATCACATACATTGGAGTCATATTCTAATTGAAGACTAATCAGTGTGGGCTAGCAAATTTGGGATAAACAGCAAGAATGTCCTCAAGCACACCTGATTCAATGAAGTAATTACATAGTTCAAGATACAGTAAGTCAGGTGGCCTGAAGTCTTTGACAGTGTCACATTCAATAATATAGTGTTCAAGTGTATGCTTTTAAGGTTTATCACAAAGTTTACATGCTGAGTGTTCCGGTATGGGTACAGCGTTACTAACTTGCCAGATGTGTCTGTATCCTAGCCTAATTCTGGCCACGACTACATCACATTGTCTGGTTCTGTCCTTATGCTGGCCATACCGGTACCTCTTGTTACAAAATTTGTCATATTTACTAATGCTACAACTGTCAGGAGCATGAGAAGGAAGATGATGATATGAAAAGAGGAGAAGGATGATGGGTGATGGCATACGAGGAGAAGGAGGAGATAGGGAGGAGAAAGCCAAGGGTGACGGGTAGAAAGGAGGAGGAGGGGGTGGAAGGAGGGGAGAAGATGGGAGGGTGAAGAGAGGAAGAGAGAAGGGTGACGGTGTGATCTGAGTGGGAGGGGAAATAAAAAGCGGGAGGGAGTGTATGAGAGGGAGAAATAGGGTGAGAGAAAGTAAGCAAACGAGAAAAATTAGCCAATCGGTCGTCAACTCAGACCAGCTCCTGCCGCTCTATGACGTCATACTTTCAACCGACCAATCAACAATCACCTGAGGCAACACACAGCTGACCTGGCAGAGACAAGTTGCTGTATCCGACCGTCACATATAAGTAATAAACAGATCCATTTACATAAAAGATACTACCTTAATATCTATCATTGACAGAGTTTATATCTATATTTACTTATGAATAGTAAAATAACTAGATATTGACATTCCTTGACTGGTTATACCGCATGATGGTAGGAGTCATCGTGCGTCAGGCAGTTATACAGATCACAACATGAACGCTTCGTGTCAGATGTTTGCTCACACCGAACACTTCACAGTGGCCTAGACTACTGTACGGCGCTAGTGACCCACCGATCAGTGTATAAGTTACACGCCTTGTGCTGACTGCTAGTGTATATTTTCTGAAGACAGTGAAGTCGCTTGCTGAGTTAATTTCCACGTGTTGGTTGGGTGAACATTACAATCCCAACACTTGCTCTCATAACTTGGTGCTAAATAATCTTGATAGTTGATTAGAAACAGAAGATAAACAACATAGCGAACAGGAATAACAGTAAAAGTGGTAAGTATATAGCGTAGGAGACCATTGTCAGCTGATGTAGGTAAACCTTTATAATAATACAAGTGTTGCCATGTTAACAGATTCCGTATAATTAAATACTTCATACATACATAAATATAAATTATATATGTACAATAGGTATATATACAATATATATATATATATATATATATATATATATATATATATATATATATATATATATATATATATATATATATAAATAATTAGCATACATCTGTCATTGCAACTCGAGGTAATATAGTAATTATTAATCTATTTATTAATTTATGAAGACATATTCATCGACTATCAGATTCACTGTAAATACTGAGGTTAAAGTTTGTGTAAAGGTCCAGTTCCAATAACTGATGACGTGATAATCACAGGAATTACGTCAGTTTTCACCACACAGGTTCATAACACGTAAATCTTATTGACGACGGTGGTGGTGGGTGAGGCGTTAATGAGAACTAAACTATCATTGAATAAAACTAAGCTAACCTAACCTAGTGATTAACACCCCAGCTTAGTTCTCCTGGTGATTGACCACCCAGCTTATTTCACCTGATGATTGACCACCCAGCTTATCTAACCTGATGATTGACCACCCCAGCACTACCTGGGGACTATAAGATTAGTTTGTTAGGTTAAATTATGATAGGTAGACTAACGTTGAGTGATTAATCATCAGGTGAAATAAACTGGGGTGGCTAATCTTCAGGTGATCCACTAAATAGATTTTTAGATTGCCCCCGAGGGGGGCTAGATTGTTGGGCACCCCCGTACATCCTGTGCAAGGTGAAGCGCGGAAGCGTTTACAGCGCCCATCTGTGAAGCATGCGGAGTTCATGCTTGCCTGTATGACTCCTGCATTAAGGGCGCAAAAGCCTGAAGGGTCATGGGTTTTGTCAGCAAGTTACATAAAGTGACAGAATGGTGAGTGTGTGAGGGAAAATTCCCGGTACATTTCATCTGTTTACAGCAAAGTGTGGCAGGTCCCTAATAATGGCAAGTGCCAGGCCTGTCACTAGGAGGAGGGATATCTGGTCAGGGAGGGAAGAGGTGTTGGTAACGGCTGGGGACCTGTAGGAGGAGGTCATAGGGCAAGTGAGGATGTAGTGAGAGAGTGTGAGTCGGGTTGACCACAATGTTTACAAACAGTGCGGCCAGGCTCAGGGTTGTCTATGTACTCAGAGTGGCGAAGTACAGTGGGGGTGATATGGTGTGGTGGGACAGGTACAGTAGGGGTGGAGGGAGGCACATACAGTAGGCATTGACAATATTGAGGGACGAGTTTTATATGAAATGCGTTTAGATCTGCCACGGTCAATAAGGAGCGGCGACATTAGTGTCCCCACACTGTGATCACAAGCGGCCAACCATATTTCCTCTCAATCCTGCACTGCCAGACTCACTGTTACATGTTGTTGCCTGCCACCACCACCTCCCTAGTGGTAACACTCGGCCAATACCTCCCTGCTATCGACCTAACTTGGTATGGTATTAGTTGAAGCAACGATTCTGGAGCTATAAGAGCATGGAGCATTAGAGCATTCCATTGGGCGATCGCGTTCACCTCCGAATATGACACCACCAAGCGGCCGCGACGTATAACACACATTAACCCCACTGCGCCTTACATGGTATTGTGCGATAACACCAAATCATTAAATAAAATAAATATATATACTGTATATAGTCAGTAGGTTATTGAAATTCAACTTCAGATACCTGGATCAAAATAGTTCTGCATGTAGGTTATCTCTGATCGCATGAAGATTAACTCCCTCAGCTTATTTCACCTGATAATTATATACCCTAATGCTGCCTGGAAGCTTGAGGTTAGGTTAGGTTCATCAGGTGTTCCCATACAACAGGTGTGGGCAAGTTATAAGTTTGGTTGGGTGAAGATATTAACAAACAGTGATAACACGTGTAGATCATGTGCGACAGGTGTTATATTTCGATAGTCGTGTGTGTGTGTGTGTGTGTGTGTGTGTGTGTTTGTGAGTGTGAGTGTGTGTGTGTGTGTGTTATCAGGTGCTCAATAATAGTATATAAAGTCCAAAACTCCGCAGGTTGGGAACAGCTGTGTCATTCTTCTTCCGGCAATTAGCTGTACAACTATGCCGCTCCCAGAAGAGGTAAGTGATGCTTTATACCCGATATTCTGTTTACTACATGACAGCAGTGTTGGCAGTAGCGGCACTGCTAATTGTAACTACGTAGCATAGCTAGTAGTGGTAGTTGTGGTGTAACTGTTTTAGAAAAAGTAGGGAATACTGTAGTGGAGCATTTTAGAGGAATTTCCGCCATGACACACCATTATTGCTTGTATTAGACACGTGGTGACCATGGTGTTACTGTACTGATAATGTTGAGACGACCGGAAGGTGAGACAAAGTTGTCATTTCTAACCCTTCAGGAATAGTTGTTTATTATTTAGAAAATTAATATAAACAAATTAGGTTCATATAGTTATATACATTTTTCAGTCAACCGGCAAATATTTAATTTTATTGGAAGCCACATGCTGTATTATGATGTAGTCACAGTAATTTAGTTATAAATAAATGCTGGATATAATATGTGAGTGTTCAGTAACAGAAGACGACAACTGAGCACATGAATGATTTACAGGTAATACATTGGTTCTAGTTGGTGTTATATATTGATGAATTAATATTCCTAGATTGAATGCTTATCAACAAGCAGCGGTTGTGTGTGTGTGTGTTAATTATAATACAAGACACTAAATACCCTGTAATAATAGTAATAAAAATAGTTGATGATAATACACTAATCATAACAATGTTCAATAATGATATTAATCAAAATAATAATAATAATATTTCTTAGAAAATTTCTTCCCATGGTTGATCTTACTTAGTGAGCACAGTTATGATACAAGCACAGCAGTGTATGTCTCGGTAATTTATTTATTTGTTATTCCCGCAGGACGTGTTGGTGCAGAAGATTTTGCATGAGATGAATAAAAAGGCCTCGTGTGCTGTCAACCAGAAAAAAAATGTTAGTGCATCTAATAACTCAGTTTATTTGTAGATGGTGAACAGTTTTTAATATTTGTTCAACTAACACTGTAAATGATTAACAGTATTTGATTCATATTGTACTCCGGCACCAGATGGTGAACAAGCTGGTGAAAGAACTGAATCATCGCCTGCAGGAGGAGACGGACATTCTGAAGGGCACCACCATCAGGCGCTGTGGCACTGCCTATGAAAACCTCACTGTTGGTATGGAGGAAGACTTTGATTTGATCTTAGTGCTTGGAGAACCCTTTGTCAGTAGCAACTTTAAGGTGGGTCAGACCATGTGTGCATGGATGAGAACGTTTACATGAACACACTTACACTACATGGAAAGAAAAAATCACACATTTTATTAGTTCTGTGGGACATTGTTGAGTGAGATCTTATACCTGTGAATATTATGTTGTTCCTCCAAGCAGATGGAGTGACCTTAATATCTTTTCTCCAGATAACTCGGGAGGAGAGATCAAAGTACCGATATTACAGTCTGAACAAAAAAAGGAATGTGAATATCAATAAGAAGAAGAACTTCTGTAGCAACAGGCGTAACTTGAACAGTGAGGCTCTACGTATCCACATCTTCGAAAGGTATTCTGTCTACAAGTCTTTGCCTTTCTTTCATGTTAGAAAACTCCAGTAAAGTTTGTAGAAGCTAAATTTTATTAAAAGAAGCTAGACTATACTTTTAAGATATTACTATGCTTGATATCATTAAGTGTATAATGTAGTACGGTAGTTAGATGGTGTTATTGCTTTAAAATTCGTTTAATGAATGCAATATTCTGAATTACGTATAGGAGAAAGTGGCTGGTGGCAGGTAACCTTTATCAGTTGATGATCCATTGTACTTTGAAGATTTGGTGATGGTTTCTGTACACCAGTACTAGTTTAGTCTTGGTCCCATTCTCTGTAATGAAAAAGTTGAAGTAAGAAATTTTAGCTTTTGAAAACTTTCTCTGATATCTTTTAAATATTGACGTCATAAAATTAGTGCAGTGATCACATTAATTCAAGTAAAGAATACATTTTAAGGTTAATTTACTGTACATATGAGTATTCTTCAGTTTGTTTGAGCAGTTACAGATCTAATTGTCATTGACAGCAAACAAAATAGAATAATTGTCCATGTTCAGGCTGGAGCAGATTCTGAGGACCATCACAGTGCAGGGTGTGTCAGTGACGTCAATCCCACAGTCTCCTGCCATGAAGCTGAACCTTCGTAGTAAGAAAGGAAGGACGATTGAGATAGATATAACACCTCAGATTGCTCGTGAGTGTCTATCTATACAGCATCTGGATACAATAGTGACCAAGTACATGTATTATTATTAGTAGTAGTAGTAATGGTAGTAGTATTGACACATTGTACACCACCCTTCCCGTTGTAGCTCCAGTGCCGGTTGGTATAGTTACAATAAGGCCAAATTTTGTACGGCATTTTAAGATGCGAGGAATAGCTAACGCGTTAGCTTTCCCGGACTGTCAATAAAAAATACGACCGTACCGAGTCTTGGGAATAACTGTTCTACAACACAGTCTTCAGAAAACAATAAAACTGTGAGAACTGAACGTAAAGGACACCGTGATAGCTTTCTACTTCAGTGGCAGATTGTACTGTAAGAATTGAGGATTTGTGAGGTATTGGTGTAATATCTTTCCTCTATTACTTGCAAGGCTTGATCCATATTTTCTACAGGTAAAGTTGTCCACTGCGTATGCTCTCTCGTCTCGCGGCTACATTGTGTTGTTTACAGGTATTCGCATATATAAACACGAAATACGACTAATTTCATGTTAATTTAAGTCTTAATTTTTGCAATTACAGAATTGTAATAAATTTGTTCACCCATATTTAAAGTATCTTATGGATAATGATATTAAAATCTTAATCATATTTCAGTAATTAGCAATATTTTACACAAAATTCACAAGCGACTAATGAAATCGGACAGCGCCCATACGCTTTGTTTTAGGCCCTATCGAATATACTATCAAATATAGAATTACATGATAGTTTTATTATTATATCAGATTTTTTTATTGCCTTACATGCACCCAACTCTTCAATATTAATCAAAATATTCTCCATAAGTGGCCATGATCCACGTATTTACACAGTGTTTCAGTAGGGGAAACTTGCTGATTGGTTGTTAGCTATTCGGGCGCCTCTCCTGCGCTGCAAACGCTAGCTCCTTGTACAGTATTTACGTCCTTCGTTTTTCTGCACCTGCAGGATACAACTGTTTTGATACCTTGTTGACTTCACATTGAGGACAGTGTTGACAGCAGACAAGCTCAGATGAGAATTATCGTAACGGTACCCCAGAATTATTGCTTTTCACCAAATTTATCGTACGTTATTATTGATTAATTTCTCGGGTTATTAATCTCCGTGATTTTATTTACATGAGTGTGGTCCAGCAGAGATGCCAAGCATTACAACATATATCCAGTGGCTGTCATATAACAGTCGGGACTAGGGGCCCTCTTAGCGGTCTGACCCTATGCTGAGTCAGACATCGAACACATCCACGAAAGCGCTTTGGAACTTCGTGTTTTCTTGTGTCCTATGTGGTTATCAACATATACATGGATCACACGCACCACACGCACCTACAATAGAGACATCAGATATACACAGCACAAGTGTACACTGTATGAAAAGTTCTTACATCTTGAAAATTACTGCCCTTTTGACCTTTTTATCTAAGCTTTTAAACTTTTAAGTATCTTATCTAAGCTTTTAAAACTTTTGACCTCAAATATGTGAAGTTAGTGAAAAACATTCTCCACTGTTCTGGTCCACAGTTAGTTCCTGGGATGAGTGTCCTGGCCTGGTGCCTCTGTATACTCTCCCTCAGTGCCTTAAGGACTACATTGAGGGAAGTGATGGAAACGGGTCACCAGTTCTGTACTTCACGCCAGCAGCACCAAGGACTCAGAGGTCGCCTTCCCATCCTATCTGCAATATGGTTGGCTGCTACATGATGGAGAAAAAGTTTTTTAGGGAGGAAAGTAAGTAATGTGATGGCCAGCTTGATTAATTTCTCATGATAGTGATTATGACCAATCTGAAGAGTTTTTGAATAGTATACTGAAATTTTTTATATACCAATTTTATGATTTTGTTGACTGTTAATACTGTACACTGTACTGTAGTATGCATGGGCGGAACCAGGGGGGGGTCCTGCAGGTTCGGACCCCCTCTTTTAATCAGAAAATTCCAATATTTTTTCCTTAATGCAGTATTATACTCGGGCATTTTTGTAAAGTAAAAAGTAATTACAGTACTATTAGCCTCGGAATATCTCCTGATATTAAGTGCACATGACCATGATATTGGTTAGATTTAAAAAAAATTCTTGGGGGGGGCCTTACAGCGCCCTACAAAACCTCCCAGCTGAGTGGGCTCTCTGTGCTCGCCATGTTCTCCCACTCACGACTTCATGAACCCCTCCCCCTTTTTATATACTTGGATCCGTCCCTGGCGATGTACTCTACTTGTATCAGTACAAGTACCTGATGCATTAATGGAATGAATGTAATGAAAAGTTCATAAACTAATATGTAACAAAGAATAGAATACAAATCATAACTTACATATTGTGCTTCACATTGCAGGAAATAATGGAAATAACAATCTTATCTTTTCAGTTATTGCCACAAATTGTCAAAGTTGTTTGAGAAACAGTTAGTAATGTTAAGTTTAAAAGAAAATGAATGTTAGTTGGTTGAAAATGTTCAAAGGAGGGCCACCAGACTGGTGCCTGCACTTCGGCACCTCAGCTACCCTGAGAGATTGGAGGGCCTGAACTTGCCTAGCTTATACTACAGATGGGCAAGGGGGGACCTAGTGAGGTGTATAAGCATCTCAAGGGGCACTACTCAGTCGAGTGTCCTTACTTGGAGCTGGCTGACGCTCGCCCCACAAGGGGTCACAGCTCAAGATTGAAGAAGCTGCAAGTCCAGAAAACTGTGAGGGCAAACTTTTTTGGAGTGAGGGTTGTAAACTCTTGGAACAATCTACCAGAGAGTGTTGTGATGGCACAGAGTGTGAGCTCTTTCAAGACAAGACTTGACCAACACTGGAGCGGGTTCAGGTACATTCAGGAGCCGGTGCATGCCCAGTATTTGCCAACAGTGCGTGACAGAGATGTGACCGATCGCCCAAGCGGCGAACAAGCCAACCAGTGGCGAAGAGGATAGAAGTAAATTAAAAGTTAAAGTCGTGGTTACTTTCCTGAAAATGCGAAGTTATAGGAAATAACGTTAAACAAATCAATTTTCCCCATGAGAAATAGATAAAATATGGGAGTTACGTTCCTGAGCCTCCCTTTGCTAACGACGTTGTATCGAAACACCGTTAATCGGGGCGACGTTATACGAGAACTTACTGTACAGTACTTTATTAATTCTAAGAGAATCAACCAGGTGATCTGTGGCACTAAAGAAGAAATTCCTGGTTACTTTAGTACTGCAGTGAATCATCTTATAAACTTTATTATGAGACTGCATATTTACACATCAATATTTCCAGCTGCAATTTGGGACATGGTGAGGTTGGCTAAGCTCGTCAAAGATAATCGTAACTGGACAACGGAGTATGGTCTAAAATCCTTTCATCTGAAGCGTCTGGCCATCAAGAATGCCAACACACTGAGGTCCATGACGCCCTGTGAGTACTTTTACATCCAGTGCCACTTTTCTGTAGCCTAATATTATAGTGAAGCATCATCACCACGACTGGATGATGGCCACCTCTCACTAATAACAGTTACTGTACTCGTGTCCTGAGTTGATTATGAGCAGTTTGTTGAGGAAAGATGTAATAAAGGGTACAGTGTATTTGGTTATAACTTATGTACATAATCTGAATATCCTGTAATCTGAGTTGATTACAGTGACAGTGAAGTATTTAAAGCGAAAGGTTTCAGAGAATATAATAAATTGTTTATAATTTTTTTTTGTCTGTAATGTTTAACATAGGATTTAAGACTGTAATACTCTTTAGGTATTCTGTACTGTATTGAAAAACTTTTATCTTTTTTTGTACCCAGGGAATGGCTACAAGGCTTTACTGAAATGCATAGACAGGGAGCTAAAGGCTTGTAGTGGACTGACCGACTGTTTTGTGGAGAAACAGTTCATATACTACGAGAAACATCTCGGTAAAGTGAGGAAGCTCCGGCGGGCGCTGACTGAGGCACAACAGCTGACACCAGAAGACCTGAAAGCTATGGTGTAGTGACAGAAGAATGTAGTTTGATTTTTTTTTTGTCACTATTGCAAAATATTGATACAGTAATCGTAAATTACAACTCTGAGCCAAGAGTGCGATCCTGAGGCCATAAAGGCTTATATGCCCCCTCCTGAGTACTGTACAGGGTGGATCACTTAGTCATGTTGTCAATATTAAGAGTTAAAACACCAAGTTCTCTAGTTATCCTTGCTGAGGAACTGCCACATTTTGGCTAGTCAAAGATGGAGTAAATATGGCCTTATTTCTTTTACATACTGATTCCATTACTAAATAGAGCCCCATCATATGAATTCCCCCAAATTATTACATTACTGTACCTGGAATAGCTACCGTAACCTCCAGTCCGTGGTATTCTCATTTCTGCATCATTGTTTTGCGTAAATTACTGGAAGATTACTCTATATTCCTAGAGGTATAGGTGTGAAACAATATATTGGAATCATTTGAAGGTGAAATAAGTTAGTTATTAAAGGAACAAAGGATTTGGAAATATTTAGGAATTTCTTCTGTACCTTTTGTGTGAACCAAATCCTTAAACAAACTGTTACTGGCCTTGGTAGATATTAATGTTATAATATTATACTATAGACCAAAGTTTAGGCATATATTTATCTGATAACACTTTCCTAGTTGTCACCTGGAACTGGAAAGGTGATCTTATACTGTACAAACCATTCTACTCTTCAGTTACATTCCACTGTTTTTCATATACAGTTTTAGGTTATACTGTAGATAAAAACCCTAAGTGCATTTGGTATGTACAGTTTACAATGTTTATTTCTTCCAGGTATTGGTGATAATAACTAGAATATTATTTCTCTGATTCTTTGGTAGCTATTCCTAAGGATGAATGAGAGCAAAAACCTATACGTACATTTATATTGATTAAGTATGGAGTTATTTCACTACCCCAAAACATGTTATTGTACCTTATTATTCCTGTTTTTTACTTCTGGTGAGGGAACCTTTCTCTTCATACTAAAAGGTTAATCAGATGACAGCAATGGTGATGAGAATGACAGCAGTGATAATAAGAACACAGTAACATGATGATAATGACAATAGTGATGATAAGATAAGAATGACAATAGTGATGATAAGATAAGAATGACAACAGGGATGACAAATTTTCGGGTACCTAAAATTAATAAATAATATTTTGGTACATTGGTGTTTTATATTATATAGTGTATTCCCTGTTAATTGTTCTTACCAGAATATTACCATCTCAAATGAAGGTGCATATACAGTGACCCCTCGGTTAACGAACTCAATCCGTTTCAGAAGATCGGTCGTTAACCGAAACCATTGTTTCAATGGGTTTTTGGGTAATTGGTTCCAGCTCACCGAAAATTTCCTAAATTCAACAAAAATGGTAGAAAAGTTCACTTGCTTTGAGGTGTGTATGTAGAAGGCTCCTGGATGATGATGATGATGATGGGATTTAGAATGGGGGTGGAGGAGAAGGAAGAAGAGAAGGCATTGGGGTGGAAGAGAAGTCACCCCATGGTGCCATTTCACCCATAAAATTTTAGCTCTCTTGGTGTAATTCAAGATTATTTTCTTTAAATCAATACTGCACTGCATTATATATTGTCAATATGTAAAATATATTTCAAAATGACCAATAATTTGCTTGGAAACACAGAAAAAAAGTGTTTAGTTGGATAGTCTCAAGCAAGATGTTACCTCCAGTGAAAACAGAGAGAGACTAACACCTGTTTGCTGTGTTAAGAGGCTGGATGCCGCGCATTAAACTAGTCACTTTACCTTCAATTATGTTCAATAATTGTTAAAATGACTAAAAAATTGAATATTAAACTTTTAAAATTATTGAATAGTATAAACTTCTTGATATTTACTAAACTAGTAAGGAATTTAAGCCCTAGAACCGATTAATGTATTGGCGGACTGATACTAAAACTGGTTGCCCGGTCAATGCAAGCGAAAACATGTTGAGGTCGGTTCGTAAGAAATTCGTTAACCGAATTTTTGTTCGTTAACCGAATTGAAGATCCTTATGGAAGGCAGTTCGTTAACCAAGGCGTTCGTTAAACGAGGGGTCACTGTAATACACCTCTAAGAGAACTTTATCCTTGTGATTGTTTAATCTACTCCAGCAGCTAAAAAAGAATAACGGTAAAATACAGTAGCCCAAACATACAGGATGTAAAGTAATTACCTGCATTATTACAAAATAATTACAAATAATCAAGGGTCATTAGAACAATTACTGTACAGGTATTTTATTTTTCTTATTTGGTTTTAGTTAATTACACGGTTCTTAAGTATCATTCACCTAAGAGCCATATATTGGGAGACTTACACTTACAATAAAGTATTTGTAAATTTCCCTGCTGTTTCAGTTTTGTTTGCATTTTCACTTGGAATCATTTCTGTACTGTCATATCCTATTTAAATAATCCTCTTTCTATATTCTACTTATAGTTATTCCTAAATTGTAAATTTGTACAGGTACTGCACGTTTCCATAACTTCCAAATCTTTGTACCAGTGTTAATGTTTTAGAATTTATCAAATTACCGTATTTAACTCTTATTTACTTATATAAATATTTTGTAGTATCTTATATAAATATTTTGTACTCATACTGAAACATTACCCAGAACACTCGGGCAGTAACCATATTAGAGACAGCTGGCGGCACCATACAACCAACACTACCCAGTGTAACTTCCCCACTTAAGGCAACTACACTACACAAATATTTGCGTGCCATCGACCTACAGTACCCGTTAAATGTAAAGAACATTACTGAACAGGTAATGTACAGTGTCAGTACTGTACTAATGTACAAGAATGTTTAATGAAAAACTTTTACTGTTGGGAATCCTTACTTTTTATTATATGTATATGAAATAAATGGAAATATTGCATCCTTGATTACAGAACATCAAGCAGTACAGCGTAATTCAATATCATAATACAGTTCACCCATTGCATTTGGGGCTCTCTGCCGAATACAAATGTATGGCACTAGCCAAACAATATATTTAAGTGGAGTCCTATAATGAATGGGGTTAGGGATCAAATGAAACCACACTTAAAGCTATGTTAAAAATTAGTTATTATGGTACATAGACAAACTGGTAAATGAGAAAAATAATATTTAATTTATTATACAAAGTATACTATATATAGTATATTATTATTATATGAAGCCTATGGACTGTGTATGAATAGTACAAGAATTATATTCCCTACCAAACAGGGAGGTACTACCGCCTGGGAAGATATTGTAAGCATAACGTGTTGTCTAATGGTATACCCTGCTGCTATATGGCATTGCAAAAATTGTGACCAAGTCCCAGGTTGCTGATCTGACTTTCTGCCTCATTTACAGTACACACAATTGCAGGGTCTCAATTGTTTCTCTTGCTATTGACAACACAACATACATATATCGTTTCTCACTAATGATCTTTTTTTTAATTTCTTTATGGTTCCTTATTATTATTATTATTAGTATTATTAGTATTAGTATTATTATTGCAGTGTTTTCATTATTATTATTGTTATCATTATTTTATTTTTATTTTAGTATTTTTTATTATAAATTTTACTTATCTCAATTATTATTATTATTATTATTATTATTATTATTATTATTATTATTATTATTATTATTATTACGTTTTCGCCCCCCGAGCCCTGATGTGGGTTGGTGACCTGTGTCCGGGTGGGCTAATACCCGTATAAAAAAAAAAAAAGACAGCTGGTCCCTGTAAAGAGCCACTCTTTTAAACGGTGACAGGCAGTTACATACATACATACATTGACCTTGAATGAGTACAGTATAGGAAACATCTGTGGAGAATGTTCAGAAATTATGTAGTACTGTATAGAAATTATGTAGTACTGTACAACACCAAGCACAATGCTGAATTTAAGCCAAGATCAGTACATAATTTTAAGATCCTGGAGCAGATCTAATTAATGTCACCAGCTATACCATTACTGATTTTCCTCACATGATCAACTCATAGTCTCTCAATTTATTTATAAAATTTACAACTTGAACACTTCTCAAACAAATTGAATTGGGAAAATTTAACACTTCTTAAAATAATGGAACCTGAAATTTTTAATGTTAATCTAGTCCAACCTGATCACACCATGGAATTCAGCCTATCAGGCTGCCATCGCTGTACATCACGCAGGGCATGACAGAAACCCTTCACTTTATTGGGCTTTGTTATGTAATAGATAAAATTGCCGTTCACGAAGCAGTCAGTTATGCCTCCTTTTTCCTCTAGTTCCACATCAAGGAATTGCAGTAGAGCCTTAAAGCCATTCCCTGTCAAGGTTAAAAAATGAAGACATCAGCATACACAGGTGTCAACTACGTATTGTAACTATTTACAAATATACAGTAATATTGTGGTTTACAGGATTACTTCTTTAAATACTGACTATTGCACAAGCATTGAAGCAGATGTTGCTTTCAGATGAGTTTAATGTTATAAATCAATTCTTCTGTTGTTCTCTTTCAAATGCCTATATACCGTTAAGTACCCAGTACAGTAGTTCTCTTCCACAGAGCTCAAGCTCATTTGAGTGCAACGATGTTCTCATTAGCAGGGCGGATCCAGGGGGAGTCCTGGGGTCTGGACTCCCCCTTTTTTTTCAGAAAATTCTAATACAGGGTACTTTTTTTTTAATGCAGTACAGTATTGTACTCAGGTATTTTTCTTAAATAAAAAGTAACTACTATTGACCAGAATATCTCCAAATATCAAGTACACATAGCTTCAAAATGGCCTCATAATGCCCATGATATTGGTCAGATTTAAAAAATCATAATTCAGGGGGAGGGGGGACTGCCAACCCCCAGCTGGAAGGGCTCACTGTGCTCGCCATGTTCCCTCACCCACAACTTCTGGGACCCTCACTTTTGATATTCCTGGATCTGCCCCCGATGAGTGTTTATTGTACACCTCTTAACTGCTTATATTTCCAGACAAGTGCTTCAGAATCCTATTGATGGTGCTAAATAGTATCAATAATTATATACAACGTAACTCCACTCACATGTTGTCATGGTCCTCAGTGTGTCAGCGTTCTTGATGGCCAGACGTTTCAGATGGAAGGATTTCAGACCATAATCGTTTGTCCAATTCTGTTGATCCTTGACAAGCTTGGCCAGCCTCACCATATCATGGATATTAACTGTAATTTATATTTGTATGAGGAATGATAATAAATTGGATCAAAATACTTTCAAGCATGAAAAAATTATTTATATAAAAAGCAAAAGAACAATGATTATAAAACCTGTACCATCACTGGCTACAAAATATCAATGTACAAAATCAGATGGAATAAAAATGTGTAATCTAGGGATGTAGTTAAAGAAACCAACTAAAGTTTATTGCTCACTCCGAATACATTTTCAGAAATCAGGGGAACAAACTTTGGTGAACCAGAGGCATGGACACAGTGATCATTATGACCCCAGCATAACTTAGTTAATTGTCATCTGCTAGCTGTCACCAACTTTACAGATATAAACAGATCATATGACTAATTTTCAGTTACAATGTTATGAAAAAAATTTACACACGACTTTTTCTCACCCTGGTGTAATGTTGCCAACATAAAGTTAAGTGCAAACTGACTCTCATTTCACTTGTCTTTAGCCAATTACTATGATATCCCTTATACTGAAAACATACTCAAGATTAAAAGGATATTAAAATAACTCTAACCTGTTTATGTCTATGTTAGTGCATTTGTTATACAGTAATTTACTGCTTAGGTAGGGGAAGGTGGTGGCTTGTTTAATCATTTCATTGTTATTGATGAGATTGTCCTTCATTGTCTAGTGTCAGTACTGTATTGTATAGGAGAAAACTAATAGTATCCAGAGAAACTTAGTGATATTTGGTAGCTGGACAATACCTTTCTCATATCTTACCTAAGAGTGGAAAGCTGTATAAATGATATGTAGGACTTCAGCCGAGTACAGAACTGTGTAGTATTTAGTCATCACATGTATAGTATAAAGACAAAGTAATTAAACTGTCACATCCACTGACCTTCTTCTTTAAGAAAATGCTTCTCCAACAAGGAAAAGCTCACCATATTACAGACCTCATGAGCTTCATTCTTTTGAGCACTTAATACTGCTGGTGTAAAATACAGAACTGGTGCATTTCTTCTGGAGTTGCTTTCAACGTAGACTACAAGGCACCGAGGGAGACTCTCCAGGGATACCAGACCAGGGCAATTCTTCCACTCACAGGCTGGACAGAGCAAAAATTTAAATGCAAAATTTGCTTGGAAAAATTAATACTGTACAGTCTATACAGTACATTGGAAGTACATTATAGCCCTAAGCTTCATTAATACAACTGTATATACTATACTGTACATTTTATGTTTGAAATGATTAAGAGGACCAATTACACCAACAAAACAAATAACCAAGTACTGTACTCTGTACACAAGTTTTAAATACAATTAAACTTATACCTAAGTGAAGGCATCCAGTTTGTGATACTGTCACCACATGGGAATTAATTTATTTTTCATTTATACAAAAATCTATACAGTACTTGTACTGATAATACTTAATTACTGTACCTGAACACTGTGTTAACTCTTCTTCACCAAATGAGCTTATGTAGTTCACATTAAGTAAAAAATATCCTATCCACTCCCATGTTCAAATTAAAATTGTAACTAATGTATTACAAAAGAAATCTTACCAACAATCTGAGGTGTGAGATCCATCTCAATTGGCTCTCTATTACCGGTTGTGAGGATCAGTTGCATGGCTGCCAACTTGGGATATGCTTTAAGTGTCATCCCAGGGACCTTGATGGTGCTCAGGATTTTCTTCAGTCTGAAAATTAAATAAAAGTAATTATATCAACCACCAATCAGAATCAACTCATTAACTACAGTATTTGTTGGTGGTACTGTACAGTGGTAGCATGGTCTTCTCTCACAAGATTCTTCCAGCTAAACTCCCTGGGTCAGGGTTGAGAAGTGTTTTCTCTGGGTACTGTACTCCAGTTTCTTACTGAACTAACATGGACAACAAAACTCATTAAAAAGAACTACCCAAATGTATAAGCAAACTGACAAATGGTTGAAGTAATAAATTAATATTAACAGAAATGCATCCATATGTGGAAAAGTTCCTCAAAGGGAAGAGACATATTCATAGATACTGTAATGAATGGTAACCAAATCTATTTGCAGGTGGCATGTACAACCTTGAAATGGGAATTATCTGCATACTAATGCCGTATCATGTGTAGTACTGTACATCCATCATGTATACAGTACTATTAAAAACTACTGTACATAATCTACATGAATCTTTAATTGAATGCTTTCTGCAGCAGTACTGTGCTTAGTTATCATGTATCAAGACTATAAAATTTGAAATGAAACTTTTAGAAATCCAATACTGTAATACCGTACAGTATTCCTTAAAAACTAACTTAACAATGGTAAAAAGACCTTTATACACCCCACATATCTTCCATATACAGTTTGTACTTTATTGTAGTTTCTGTCAAGCAAAAACGCAACACAAGATTACCTTTCAAAGATGTCATTGCGCAGCTCCTCCGTTTTTAGGTTGCCCCTCTTGCTGCAGAATATGTCCTTATTTCTTATTAAGGGGTTTTCTCTTCTTTGCAATGTATACAGCATAAACCTTTCATGAGAGTCTTGAATTATCTAGAATAATAAACATTTTGTCTAACCTCAAGGAGTTGTGTCTGTAAACCACACAATGTGTCCTGGCCCAAACCTGTCAAATCCAAACCTGTCAAAACCCAAATCAAGAGAAAAAATCTCAACAAATGCAAATATTAATAAAAATATTAAAAAATTCATTTAGGTAATCTGAAAGTACTGTATTTAATTTATTTGAAGGTTTCAGTCACTACCCACAAAGAAAGTGACAAAGTACAGTACAGGTGTATAATAAATGATGTACAGTATATTACAAATAAAAATGCAAGTGGTTATAGAATATGGTATCGAGTTACCATCATGCCACTGCCAATAATTATTGCCAGCCTTCTTTTCAGGTCAATCAAAAGGCATCTGTTGGCACTGTCATCAAACCACATTTGATTACTTGCACATCTGATTTTGAGGCTACCTTAGTAAAACTTTGGCAACACTGTTGATCTGGTGGTGCATTTATACACTAAGTACTGTAAAGTAAAATGCTTAACTTACTGCACCTGTAAACCCTGCTTTAGAAGTGCTTTTATCTCAACAGTTATGAGAGAAAAATTATTGATTAAACATGAGAACTTGGCTATAGTTAACGTCATACATACCGTAAAATTGTTACTAACAAAGGGTTCCCCGAGCTGTAGGATCAGGTCATAGTCTGCCTGGTTTTTGACAGCCAGGTTCTCGTAAGCACTGCCGGCGTGCCTAATGGTGGAACCCTTCAGAGTACCTTCCTCCCTTTGGAGGCAATGACCCAATTCTGTCACCAACTTGTTCACCAGCTGTTATATCAGTAAATCACTATTAGTAACTTCATCCCCACAACCATTGGGGCAAAATCCTCACTCAGTTTCAAGCACAGAAATTCATGTTAAAAACGATAAAAACATTGGCTGGAACAAGAATAACTTACTCAAATGAAAAGCAAATCATAATACAGTAGTTTATAGTCATGGCAGAATATTTTATTACAGCTAAAGGGGATTATGTGATGTCTGAATTTGTTATACAGGAAATATATATCAACTGAATTCTACCATAATCCATACTTATTTTTTAGGACTTTTAAATTGCTATTGGTAAATCTTCCATTAATTTTAACTAACGTAGTGTACAGTAATTAGTTTATTATTAACCAACCTCCTTATTCTGGTTGACAGCGAACGAAACCTTGTTGAGACGCCCTAACACGCTCCTCACTACTACATCCTAGGAGAGAGTTCAATAAAACATGGAAATAATTTAATTTTAGTTGCCATAAGAAAAATAAAATCTTTAATAGGCATATTTATTTATTTATTTATGGGGTATGCTATAACGAACGGATCCTACTACGAATATTCCTATAACGAACGGTTTTACCTATAAAATTGAGAATGCTATAACGAACGAAACTCCTACAACGAAGGCGGATGAATACGGGACTACTTCACCTGGCGCATGAATATTGTTGTACCGCGACCCACAACAGGCGCCATCTTTGTCTCACTGTTATTGTTGACATTTCGTCTTTTGATGTGGAAATTCGCGTTATTTGTATAACTATTTTGTTATACAAGTATACAATTGTAACAATGAGTCGTCCAAAGCGAGTGAGAAAGCTAATAACCCTTGAAACTAAGAAAGAAATTATAAAGAAACGTGAGAATGGAAGAAGCATTGCCAAACTTAGTGATGTATGGGATGACTAAATCGACTATATGTACGATTTTGAAGAATAAAGAGGAGTTAAAAACTGTGCAAGTGGCTAAGGGAATCTTTAGACTTAGCAAAGCAAAGTGTAATGTGATTGAAGAGATGGAAAATTTACTCTTAGTGTGGATAAAGGAGAAAGAAATGGCAGGTGATAGCATTAGTGAAGTGAGAAGGCTAAACAATTGTTTGAGGACCTTAAAGCCAAGACTCCATAGTGATGTGCCAGTGTTTAGGGATACGTGCATGCTGAACAACACTAAGGTAAGATAAAGTACCGTATTTTTTACATTTTCCACATAATTTTTTCAGTTTTAAGCGGTTGTATTTGGGGGCCTGGAACGGATTAATCCTATAACGAACGAATGCTATAACGAACGAGGTTCTGGAACCAATTACGTTCGTTATAGCATACCCCACTATATATAATCAACAACAATTTCAACCCGCCAGGACTCGAACCCACGATCTTATGTGTGTGACCTGTTCAACGAGCTTATGGCGCCGTGAATCTCCAAATTGGAGGTGCATATGGCTTCAAAATGCCCCCAAGTTTAGTGTCACTTTACATAAGTCGAGAGTGAGGATCGGCAGTAATGAGTGTTAACTGTACATATTCATACTTAGTACATAAAATGATAATGAACTAAAGTATACTAACTTACCTCATTACGCCGTGCCATCTTGCCTCAGCTCAGTGGTAGTAAGACGTTATATGATAGGATTGTGGGGAGGAGAGCATTTAACGCTCACCCTTTTTGCTCCCTCCAGTTGCCAGCTGCTGGACGTTGTTTTCTTCAATTAGTCCTTCCTAAGTTCCGTCTGTACAACCATTTTAGATGTACCAAAAAAAGAATAGAGATTGATCAACTAATCTTCTTTGTAGATGAGGAAGACTCATATAATAAGAGGGTCATAGGGTCATAAAAATAAATTATTACTACCACCAAGTAACTACAGGCAGTGAGTTTTAACATGAATAAGTCTTGTCTGACTTCAGTGGTGTGTGTTGGTGAGCTATCTACTTCCGGCTCCCTTGCCTAATGTATGATAACCACCGAGCTACGCCGCATGAAATTGTTCCTTATCTCGCAATACGGATTTAGCCTTTAGGCCTCGATGATTAAGTTCACTAGTATTTTACAGGTATGTGAGTCTCACCTTTATAACATGGTCACCACAGTGAAAGTCCTGCACCTTGTTATAACATAATACATGTTTGCCTGGACTAAAAAACGTTATTTTGATGTACCCGAGATATTAGTAGTTAAGATTAGATAAAGATTGGTAGGTTTACGTCCCTCGCAAAAACATACGGGTCTTAGACACTCGAGACGCATATACGGTACGGGACAAACGCACAAGTTGATGATTCTATAGGACCACCAGGCAACTGATCACTTCCTTGACCGTGTGAGCAGCAACACACACAGGGCGACGATTCAATCAATGACGTAGTGTTGTACGGCAAACTTTTATGCCTTTAATGATAAAATGTTGCACTTTTATCTCCGGCTTAAGTATACACGTACAGGGACACATACACGTATTGTACACACCACAAGTAAATATTTTACAGACTGACTGACGTGTACAAGTCATGTCTAGTCAGGGAGCGTAGCTGAGGCTTGGCTGCTGGGACCTTGAGGGGAGGAGGGCCCGGTGAGGGAGAGAGGTTACCATATGCACTATAACTGACATCTTATAACGACCGATAATCCTCTCAAACACAAATATTTCACCCAAATTTTACATGTTGGAAAATGAGTATACTTGCTTCTATTGCTATGTGTGTATAGGAGTGTACATGACTCAGTATATCTTATTCTTTGATAAATTTATATGTACACATTAGACCTCAGGCACTAATACTTTAGAAGTGACAGTACAGCTACACTCCTGAATAGTATCATTATTGTTCATTATCATCCATTTATAACAATAAATTTCGTTCATCTTCCGTTTTTCTCTATCATTTTCTTTTAGTTCTTACTATTTATCCCATTTGTCTATAATTCTTCTTTTCCAATTCTCTTATTTCACTCTAAATTCTTATTTTGATTTTCTTTGTCTTATTATGCTTCTTTTAGTTCTTCTCTGTTTATTCCTTTGTTTTCATTTTTCTCGTAATTCTTCTACTCCTGTTCTTGTTTTTTTCCCTTGTTCTTGTTTGTCTATTCTTTCGTATTCTCTTTATATTTCATCTTCTTTTATTATATTTACTTTTTATTTTATTGTTTCTCCTCTTTCTTTTATTTTATTTAGTTTATCATTTGTTTTTTTATTTATTTTATTTATTTTTTCATTCTATTTTAATGTTTTCTTTTCTTCTCATTATTTTATCAAGTGTTATTGTCTTAAGATCACCTGAAGATTAACCTAAGCTAACCTAACCTGAAGATTAAATCACTCTAATGCTAACCTAACCTAACCTAACCTAACCTAACCTAACCTAACCTAACCTTAACCTAACATAATCCATCTGGTTATTAAAGCGTTGGGGTGGTTAGACTAGGGTGTCTCAAAATGCACGGAATATAAATGGCAACACAAGAGAAGAAAGATTATGGGAATAAACTGTAGAACAAGACAACTTTACAATAAATTCTAAAATGAAATGAAGAGGAAAACTCGCAATTTTTTTTTGTATCAGAAAATTATGAAAGAAAAGGGCGAATCAAGGAGAAATCAAATAATTAAAATAATATAAATTGACGAATAAAATTACAAATTGGATTCGTTTCCCTTTAACCTAAACTTACTTCAAATATTGCAATGTCTGCTGCCTCCATTACCCGTAAAGCCCACAGTATCACCTACTCATAATAACTAAAAAAATATAACAAAACAAATTCCTATCCCTGACTATCTCTTTATCGTGACCCTCTAGCCCAATAACACTATATTTGTAATGTGGGCGATAGCACAGTTCCAGGAAGTGGTTAGGTTAGGTTAGGTTAGGTTAGGTTAGGTTAGGTTAGTGGGGTCGCTCGGCATGAATTAGTCAGTGTGTACCGTATACATTCCTCGGTGCGGTAAGCGGTTAAGCAGTCAATATTGTGCGCCAGATTAAAACGATATAATGATATACTGTGGTCAGATTATTATTATTTTATATCTAATTAGTTGACATAAATTATCTTTTTGGGGCGTTCTTACTATCTCTCGTTCCATCGATCTGTTTCTGTCTGCCTGTCGTTCCTCTCGTTCTTAACAATTGCTCTCTCTCTCTCTCTCTCACCAACAGTGTCTATGATTAAAGGGTTTAATTTACAAAACTTGAAGAAAAAAAACTTGTTCAACACCTACTTCACACATGTATCTACGCGTCAGGCAGGTGTGCGAGATCACGGTAATTAACACCTGCACACACGTCTTATTATTAGGCCATTTGCCTCTCTTTGGCGTGTTATAAGGTATGTATTACTTGTAGAGTAACAACATGACTAAACAAGGTAAACAGGGCGAGATAAACATTACAAACAAATAATAAATAAGTGAATATTGATGATTGAAGAAAATAGAATGAAAATTAAACAAAAACGGAGATAAAAACAGAACAGAGAGAGAGAGAGAGAGAGAGAGAGAGAGAGAGAGAGAGAGAGAATTAAATCATACGAGAGATTAATACAAATATTAAAAGACTTACCATCAGCATTAATATAATATACAGGTAAAACTAACAAGCAGATCAAAAGAGTTATCACCAACATCACCTCAGCAACGACAACATTCCGCTGAGTGTGAGTGAGCGAGAGTCTGTGGGGGACTGTGGGTGTTGGGGGGTGGGGTTACGGGGGACGGGAGGGTGTCCGTAGCGTCGCCACAACACTCCACCACCACCACCACCACCAGCTGAACGTGAGTCATACACGTCGAGTTGGGGCAGTCAGTAGGCAGGGAGGTAGCTAGTCAGTCGCTCTGTCCCGTGTGTATTGTGAACAAGTATCGATTTTATATTCGTCACCACAACAACTATCCTGTTGAACTTTACTCAGTGCTACCACCAGTGCCACCACCACCACCAGTGCTATTAACATTCGTGCTACCAACACTACCAGTGCTACCACCATTAGTGCCATCACCACCAGTGTTACCACCAGCGCCACAGCAACACTGGATATCACCACTACTAGAAGCTACCACTATTGACAACACCACTACACACTACTATTGTCAATATCACTTCCCACACACAATCCATTCACCACACGCCACCACTATCCCACATTCACCACCACACCCCACATTCACCACCACACCCCACATTCACCACCACACCCCACATTCACCACCACACCACCATTCACCACCACACCCCACATTCACCACCACACCCCACACAACCACCACACCCCACATCACCACACCCCACATCACCACCACCACACCACCACATCACCACCACACCCCTCTTCACCACCACACCCTCACCACCACACCCCTCTTCACCACCACACCCTCTTCACCACCACCACACCCTCTTCACCACCACCACAATCATCCAGAACAAACAGAACTTCATCACTCCTGGACTGAGCAGAACTAACGCTACTGCTTCTTAGAAATTCTTTACAATGTCGGTAAGTGGAGCAAAACATCAGTATAGAGAGAGAGAGAGAGAGAATGATGATGATGATGATGATGATGATGATGATGATGATGGGAACAAAAGTAACTAAATCATGTAGTATAGGTCAACGCTACAGTATAGTCGGGATCCATAATCATCTTAGGAGTGAAATATTTCCCTCGTAAGTGTTATTAAGATCTATGGTTTAAGAGCACTGATACTAGAGTGGTTTAATAATATGGTTAAGAGGAAGATGGTTTACTAGTTTGAGGGTTTGATTGGGTAGTTATGAGAAGGATGGATGATTTAAAGGTGATTTATTAAGGTGGTTTAATAGGAGGATGGTTTAAATCTCAGGGTTTATTTTGAGTGTTATTGTCAAACTTCCTTCCACGTTTGACACCAACATCAGCTATTATTATTATTATCACTACAGTCATAATATGTAACTAAAATAACTGAAAAATACAAAGAAAAATCAGAATATAGTATAATAAGAATAAATTTTAGTCAGGTTACAAAATTAGTCTTTGTAATATGAATTAGCGGAGATTTTCCTATAGTGTAATGATGTTATCGGTACAGTGTTGTGGGTAATCTATGTAATCACTAGGTTAATTTTATCAGTGGTTCATTGCGTGACGTATTTTATTGCCTTAGAAAAGTATTGATAATTCTGAATAAGATTTTTTCTTCTCCAATCTAGAACGTCCACGATTACAGATTATAAACACACACGCTCAACACACACACACACACACTCAACACACACACACGCTCAACACACACGCTCAACACACACACACACAACACACACACACTCAACACACACACACACTCAACACACTCACACTCAACACACACACACTCAACACACACACACACACTCAACACACACACTCACACTCAACATACACACACACACTCAACATACACACACACACTCAACATACACACACACTCAACACACACACACACACTCAACATTACCAATAATAAGATAATTTTATTGTTTTTGTTAATGTGATTACTGAAATGTCATGTAGGTGAGTGAGAACTAACCCCCCTCCCCCTCTCACCCCCCAGGAGCAAGTTGTGAGGGAGATCTTCAACAAACTGGACAAGACTTCGACCTTGGCGGTGAAGCGACACGTGAAGGTAAGAGAGAGAGAGACTGACTGACTGACTGACTGTCTGTTTTGGATATTTGGTCAGGTTTGCATGCTCGAATATCTGGCCAGGGACTATTCTTCACCAGTGTCTTGTGTTCTATCAGCTGTTATATTTTATAGAGAAACAAATGAATAACGACTCCAACAGGTGGGGCACAATTTAAGATAGTTCACCTGCCTGAAGATTCGCTCCCACAGCTTATTTCACATGTAGATTGACCTAGCCTAACCTATCATAACTTACCATTACCTAAGGTACTGCACCCTTCCATACTTTAAACATGTTCATAAGGACAATTAAGGTTATTAAATTTAATATACCATTAAACCACAGGCTAAAGGTTTTAAGGTCATGACAACACCATAGAATAATGTTACGTGTTGATTATTATTGATTATATAAGAAAAATAGTTAAGTAGTGATGGAAGAGCAAAGAACGTATTATGGTATCCGGCAACTCTTCTTGGTCACCTGGTGTGTGTGTGTGTGTGTGTGTGTGTGTGTGTGTGTGTGTGTGTGTGTGTGTGTGTTTTTTGAAAGAATATATCGCAAGCGTAATACATAAGTGTTTTCTTATCCTACTGGTGGTGAGGACTTAGGACTTTATTTTATCCTGCAGGTGGTAGAGACCTTTTTGTCGAAACTCCAGGCGATGGTGGCCAGATCTAAGGGCCAACTAAGGGGTTCTCGCCTCCTGTTCTCCGGCGCCCACCATGAGAGCTTAGCAGTCGCCACCTTCAGCGACTTCGAGGTGGAACTGATGCTTGGACTACCTTACTCGTCTGACAATTTCACCGTGAGTAAAGACCACATACTGTACAGGGTTGTGGATGACTGTTGTGGTTGGTATTGTTATTAATGTATTTGTAGTTTGTTATTGTTATTATTGTAGTTATTAGTATATTATTTTTAGTGTTATTGTTAATACTCTTTGTGTTGTGATTATTGTGTAGTTTGTTATTGTTATTATTGTAGTTATTAGTATGTTATTTTTAGTGTTATTGTTAATACTTTATGTTGTGATTATTGTGTAGTTTGTTATTGTTATTATTGCAGTTATTAGTATATTATTTTTAGTGTTATTGTTAATACTTTATGTTGTGATTATTGTGTAGTTTGTTATTGTTATTATTGTAGTTATTAGTATGTTATTTTTAGTGTTATTGTTAATACTTTATGTTGTGATTATTGTGTAGTTTGTTATTGTTATTATTGTAGTTATTAGTATGTTATTTTAGTGTTATGTTAATACTTTATGTTGTGATTATTGTGTAGTTTGTTATTGTTATTATTGCAGTTATTAGTATATTATTTTTAGTGTTATTGTTAATACTTTATGTTGTGATTATTGTGTAGTTTGTTATTGTTATTATTGTAGTTATTAGTATTTTTTAGTGTTATTGTTAATACTCTTTATGTTGTGATTATTGTGTAGTTTATTTATTGTTATTGTTGCAGTTATTAGTATATTATTTTTAGTGTTATTGTTAATACTTTATGTTGTGATTATTGTGTAGTTTGTTATTGTTATTATTGTTATTGTTATTATTAGTGTTATTATTTTTAGTGTTATTGTTAATACTTTATGTTGTGATTATTGTGTAGTTTGTTATTGTTATTATTGTAGTTATTAGTATGTTATTTTTAGTGTTATTGTTAATACTCTTTATGTTGTGATTATTGTGTAGTTTGTTATTGTTATTATTGCAGTTATTAGTATATTATTTTTAGTGTTATTGTTAATACTCTTTATGTTGTGATTATTGTGTAGTTTGTTATTGTTATTATTGTAGTTATTAGTATATTATTTTTAGTGTTATTGTTAATACTCTTTATGTTGTGATTGTTGTATTTATTTATAGTATTGATGTGTCTATTATTATTATTGAGTGACCTGCGGATCTTCTCTGGACAGATATATTTCGACACTAATAGCGAGTTGTACGCGTTGGGCTGGAGGAAACACAAGAAAATAGACTTTGCCGACAAGGAGGACTTCCTCAAGACTCAGAGACTACAAAACAAGATCTTCTCCGAGTGAGTATTTGCTTTAATGTTTCTTCCATTTATCTCTCTTTCTCTATCTCACTTTACACATCTTTTATCAAGTGAGTACATCGTCTGAGGTGACTTCTTTCTCTGTCTCTAAAAAGGCTACGTGCTCTGGTGGACACCCTGGTAATACCCGGAGCCAAGATACAGGCCAAAGAGACACCCAACGACCTCAGTGTCACCATCACCATCAAGAACGAAGCCACACGGGTCCACCTCACTCCTCTGATTGCAGGTGTGTGAAGACGTTACCTGGTTGTATCATTTGTTGGTTTAAAGTGCCTCAGGTAACAGAGTGTTCTAGGTTAGGTTAGGGTGTTTAATATTATTGTGAAATAAAATAAGGGAGGGGGAATCTTCAGGTGGTAATATGAATTATTTAAGGAGAAGCTTTGGATGTTTTACACTTAATATGAGAGTATGACTTCTCGAATCAACCCGGCAGGAAGGTCTTGGGAGGACTGCTCGAGGCTAACTTCACTGCAGGAGTTACCAGAGACAGTGAGACAGAGCGTGGAGGACCTCCGTAACAGTTCCGGCCCCCTCATGTTCTTCTCCCTGGCCGTCCCTCAGCGGAAGACGTGGGATGATGGACACAGGCTCACCGATGTGTCCTTCACCTTCCTGGAAAATGACATCATCAGGAACAACGGTATGCATACCATCCTCATACACCTCATAGCTTAGTGTTGACAGTAAACAAACCATCCAAGTTCAGTCGCATCATCTCATTGAGGATTGAATCTTAATACCTGTATACAGTTAACTTAGCGTTGTGGTGTAAACAATGGTGTGGGTTTGTCGTCCAGCTCAGTATATCGTAGCTCTGAGTGAGGACAGACTACAGCAAGATGCAAGAACCATTTTTTTAACTGGTGTCAAACAGTTCGTTCACTGACTGTGGCTTGATGGGGGCAGAGAAAAGTTGTATATTTTGGTCACAAAAAACAGTATTGTTTATAAACATCTCAATTTGTATATAACAGCTCACATTGTTTACTGGCAGCTCACGTAATTTTGTTTCTATAAAAAAATCAAACTGTTAACTTCTTTTTTGTTCACAGCTGAGTTACGGGACATGGTAAGATTGCTGAAGCTGGTGGCTGACCGCAGCAGCTGGCACACCAAGTACAGCCTCCAGCCCTCCCACCTGCACCGTCTTACCATCAAGTATGCCGACCAACTCAAGGAAAAGACCACCTGTAAGTTCTTGGTCTGGGTTCTAACAGTTGAATGGTTCTGTATGTTCTTAAAGAGGAAAGTGACTTTCTTTCTCTCTCTCTCATACAAATGAAAATATTCATTATTACTATAAAATTTAAAACTCATTTTCCCTTCTCTTGGCTCCTACAGGGGAAGGCTACAGCACACTTCTCACATTCCTCTACAGTGAACTCGGCGACTGGAAGCTAGACAGCCTATTCGTCAAGGGGCGTCTAACCATCTCCACCACCTGCCCACTGAGACCCATGGACTTTCAGGACGAGCTTGCTGTGGTGATGGACTACAGACCTTGCAAAGTCAGAAGCCTCGTTTAGGATTTTTTTTATATTGTACTACGTCTGAAGATTTTCATGATGGCAGAAAATCCATCTGTGAGTAATATAAGGAAATATACTGCACTATATAAGGGTTGTGATAGCCTTCAGACGAAGAGATTTCAACAGTATCTTACAGAGGATTTTAAGGAAACATAAAGTAGTTTGTATAACGTCGATAATCGGTGTGTGTCTTAATCTGATCCATGTGATTAAGAAATTTTTGTGTTGGGGTAAAACTCGCGTCAAGACTGAAGCTTCGTCACGGCAAATTTCAAAGAGTTCACCCTGTTGTATATCGAGGATGATGGAAAAGGCTTAGGTGAGATGACTGGTGATCCTGATGTGAAACTGTGAAGGTGGAACCAGGAATTTAGTATCCACAATGATAGATAATAAATGTGGGATGTTCACTGTGTTAGGAATTTACGATCTTTCTCTACTAGTTTGCATAATGAGGGAGTGACAGCATTGGCGTGACGGGCTGTAGTCTTTGTGAATTGTTCAGATAATGGAATTACACGTGATAAAACGGTACACGTAAGGCTACTGAACCCCGAAATGTTGTGTTGGACAGAAAGCTTTGATACTGTATGAAGACGGTATTTATCCAGACGAGTCGTAGTAATAGATAAGCTTGATCTGAAAAAAACAATAAAATGAGAGAGGTTATTCTGTGCATTACATGATTCTTACATTACTGAAAAGACGATCTGGGGAAGAATTAAGTTTATTTTCTGGTTAGAGTCTTTTGTTTTTCTACTTTAGGTGTCATATATATTACAATAAACATATATACTACACAAAACTGAGACATGGACAAAACTAAATGCTAAAAAAAAAATAAACAATAATAAAAACAAAAAAATGAGTATATTTTGTTATATTAGTTTTAATTTCAACTTAACAATAATTTCTGGATCGTGTAAGGCAATTTATTTAGATAATTCATTGTTTCTTGTAATTGTGTTATTCATTTATACACTGAATGGTTATTGAGACTAAAAGATAAAATTCCCATTACATTAAGAGACAATATTAATGATTTTTAGGTGATTATGTGATTGGTGACTTAACTTGTGATTTATTTACTAATTGGTGATGCTCTTTTGTTTACAGTTGGTGATTTGTTTGTTTACAGTCGGTGAATTTTGTGTTTACAGCTGGGCATTTTGTTTATAGCTGGTGGTCGTTTACATTATAACACCACCAAAACAATCATAACACCACACGTAGACAAACCTGGGGTAAACAGGTGATCAAACCCTAATCAACCATTACCTACGTGACTCAAGAAAAGTATTAAATATTGTCAATAATGTCCAGGGAATTCTGTTCTAAACTGCACATGTGGAAAATGGTGATATTAATTTTTTTTTTTGTGTGTGTGTGTGGGATGATCTAAAATAACCAGACAAAGGACAGTGTTGTACCTGATTTGTAGATATATAAAACTGTATACAGTATATATATAATCTTAGAATAATTTTGAAAAGTTGTATAATTTCCCCCAAAATTATTTCGAATCCAAAAATGCTAACATGGAAATACTAAGATAAACAAGAAACTAACATAAACACACAGTAACACAAACAGGAACTAAAACGGACACCTAACACAAACACTAAATAGACCTGACCAGAATTAAACACGTACTGAGCCAACCAGACGGAAAGAACATGATAAATACTACACTAGGCTGACATGGTATTATCTAGATTCATACAAGAACTACTCCCGTCCTCCCTCAGTCTTCTCACACACGCGTACAGCACACGTTCAGGACTGACGGGCCCTCAGTCTCAAATTCCTCAATATTTCTCTCTCGTTTTATTAAGGATGCCACTGTAGTTAGACCACTCCACCCTGACTGTTGAAGAATTGTGTCACGGAATATCAAAGTTCATGAGCTATTTAATGTTTGATGCATATGATGTAAACGTGCTATTTATTTTGGATTCGTTCTCAACACTATACGTTCTGGTTGGCAACATCCTCGAGGTCGGTTACACCACACATCACGCCTGCCACACCACACGCTACACCTCATACCACAGCTGCCACCCCACACACCTCTCCCCACCCCTGCCACACCACACACCTCTCCCCACCCCTGCCACACCACACGCTACACCTCATACCACAGCTGCCACCCCACACACCTCTCCCCACCCCTGCCACACCACACACCTCTCCCACACACCACACACCTCTCCCCACCCCTGCCACACCACACACCTCTACACCACAGCCACACCACACACCTGCCACCCCACACACCTCTCCCCACACACCACACACCTCTCCCCACCCCTGCCACACCACACGCTACACCTCATACCACAGCTGCCACCCCACACACCTCTCCCCACCCCTGCCACACCACACACCTCTTCCCACCCCTGCCACACCACACACCTCTCCCCACCTACTAGCAATGCAGGTCCACTTTCTCCGTCCCCTGACCATATCATCAGTCTTGGTAACGTCGAGGATTGAGTTTCTTCTCAGTTGTCAAAATCTCGTGTCGGGTTCCCACTCTGTCTGCCCACAGGTACAGGTTGACGTGTGGACGGGAGCTGTGGGCGCTATTTACCCCTGCACGTTCCTTGATTAACCACAGCTCATTGTACCAATTTCGAGTGGTTCTGTCTACCTGTATATATGAGTTTTATTAGCTGCTATTATTATTGCTTCTTTTTTTCTTCACATTCATTAGCGTTTTCTCAGTGTTTTCAATATTGTTGGTTTATTGCAGTACATTCTATTGTTAAGGAATATGTCATCACACACGAGAACCCCGCCGCCACACCATAAGTCACTGTGAACCCGCCTATCAAGCACTCAGTACACGGACCCTTCATCATCACACATTAGTTTGGGACAAGTGTTGTTCCGTCCTCATCTCTGAACATAACTCGTCAACATCATCATCATCATCATCACACTTAATCGTCATCATACTTCACCATCGCACGTCATTATCATCATCGCCAGCACCACACGTCAACAACACGACCAGGACGTGACGAACGCTCCCTGTGTACATCAGTCATCTCTCAAGGTCCTGACTTTCCCTCACCACAGTGGGGCAGTGTAGCCAAGTCACACCTACCCTTCTCCTCAACAGTAATAATGATGATGCTTATAACACAAATTATGGTACGGTAATAATTACAATACAACTACTACTATTATTACTGGCAATAATGATAAATATGTACAGTAATTATAATAATAATGATAATAGTAATAGTAATAATAATAATACAGTAATTACAATAATAATAATAAAAAAATAATCATTGTTCATACAGTACATAGCTTGATTTACGAGGGCTGCACGACTAACTGCAGTTATTTGCCGCCCAGATGTCAAAAATTGAATGTTGTGTGCTGAATGTTTCAACAATAATGGGAAAGCTTTCTTTAATTTCTATCAGCTACCAGCCAATGATAAGAAAAAAGTGAAAAAAAAAATTATGCTTGTGGCGGCATGAATCATCTAGTGCGCCCAAATATGGTGTTCAGTGTGTTTATATTGTATAATTACATTTTAAATATTTATAAATATAAATAGGGAGCATAAAATCAAGCTATATAGTCTAAACGTTGTCAGTGGGTCCGACTAATTACCCAAATGTAGCCGCAATTAAGTCAAATAATGGTCCTACAAGAGTAAATCGGACTGCCAATCACTTCTCGACTGGTATTTGGTGTCACAAAGTAAAAAAAAATTGGAAAACTTACTTTAATCTGAGTTAATAGATCGAGTGCATGTACCTAACCTAACCTAACACAACTAAGATTAAATTAAGTTTACCAATTTTTTGTGACTTTGTGACACCAAATACTAGTCGAGAAGTGATTGGCAGTCCGATTTACTCTTGTACGACCATCATTTGACTTCATTGCGACTACATTTGGGTAATTAGTCGGACCGCCTGGGGGGCATTGGTTACCTGGCATATTTGGACTTATTAAAATATGATATTTACGCTACAAAGTATTTATAGTAAGGAAATAATTATTTTGGTAGTGCTGGACTGTTATTAATTGCCCTCATTACGAAAATTGGGTCGATATTAATTCTGATACAGGAGGTCATTCACCATCCCAGAGGAAGCTGTTCTCACCACTCTTCAAATAGACCACTTACGACTTTTTTTTTGCCGTAATTTGATTTCAATACATTTTTACACATAAATTAGTTGTATTAGTTATCTTAAAGGCTTACCTTTTATGATGGTTAGGCGAATTAGGAGGATATAAACGGCGATGAGACAAGTAGAGGCTGGCGGCATTTTTCGTACACAATACAATTCTGCATGTGCGGTTCTATATGGAGTATATCGTATAAAAAATATTATTCCTTTGCAGATTTATACATTCTATGTGCATCCAAATCAATTTTCTTTCTTTTGGTTTCAAAAATAGTTCCATCGTAGCTATCATCGGGCGGGGGGGGAGGGGGGTACACCACGGCTGATCTTGTAATTGGCCCTAATCCCGACCGTAATATGGCAGGGTCACTGGATATAAGTTGTCAAATTTGGCCTTTGGTTTGGTAACTCTCCCAGGCCGCTCTCATGTAAATAATATCACAATATTTAATAACTTGAGAAATTAATAAAAAAAAAAGCACGATAATTTGGGTGAAAACCGACAATCTGGGGTCACCGGTACGATAGTTCTTCCCCAGTGCTGCCCTCAACTCTAGGAACTTTCGGGCGGCAAAAAAACGACGGAAGTAACTACACCAAGATGAAACTGTTTACTCAGAGCAAGGGTAAGTTATTTCTTGAACCTTATCATGTGTTATGTTTTATAATACTGTATAGGTTAATAATTGCCGACCATATTTGACGTTTACTGACGTTCTTGACGGATGACATTGCCGATCACACTAACCATATACAGTGACTCAGCAAATTATTAAATAACTTCAACCTAACTGTTAAATATTTCAAAATTTTATAAGTTCTCATATTTGAGTTGTTCAGGGTGAACGTGTCCAACATATGGGTTAAGCTTCAGAGCTTACAAAGCTATCTGAGTTACTTGATGAAATTCCGAGTGGTAGTTTTCAAAATGTCCACTAGTAAATGAAAGGGTCCTAGGACAGTGGTAGAAAATATAACAAACCGGGGGACGATGACGAGCTAGGCGTTTAGCTGACGCCAACTGGTGTTATCAAGTATCATGCTCCACCACCATTTCAGATTAAGGTAAATCTTCACTGATTATAGATATTATGTTTATGTAATTATTGGGCTCTCGATTTTAAGTGAAAATTTGGTTTTATTACGACATTTTAAGTGGATATTGTAGGGGAGACTTTTATTTTGTGTGGATTGGAAAAATAACCTTGTGCTTCCCATCCATAAAGTTTTGGCCGAATTTAGGGCGGTTTGGCCGTGAAGTTGGCCGTGAAGCTTGTCGTACATCTGCAGAGTTTCCCGCTTCAATTTACCACCTCGGTTATTATCCATTTGCAACGACAGTGGTATTAGAAAAAGTTGTTGTAATTAACGAGATATAACTTCTTATAAACCCAAAATTACTCTAATCCAATTTGGAGTGAAACTGCAATAATATCTTAGGAACTAGCCCCACAATTCTGAGAAACTTGCTATAATGTTGAATTACCCAAACTAACATTAGAACAAAGTCTGTATGTGATAAATGGTTAACCCTGTATGTAACATTAATAAATATCTTTGATGCCACCCCCAAAATGCTAGGGCTGAATATAAAATAAGACTAACTCCGAGGTACTACTTTGCTACGCGGACTCGTGCTCACATGAGGACGTGGAGGCTGACAGAGGCTGTAGGTGGCGTCTGTATTTGTCCTGCTAAAATGTAGGTGTTAATCATTCTCTGCTTTATTGTGTGTAATTATACTCATAAGTTGTGCGTTTTATTGAAAATATATTATGTGAACAACGCATTGTTATATTGAAATTAGTTAATAAAATAAGAATAGGCTAAGGCCAAACAAACTACAAGTTATTGTTAAATGGTTCTTGGTTTTTCTGGATTATTAAAGAAAATAGTGCAATTTATTCTCAAAACTAATTCTGGAACTTGTCGTATATCTGGTTACACTGCAGTGGACTTGCTGTCATCAGCATCAAGAGAGTTTGTTCACCTCTGTTCAGTGATGACAAAATAGATGACTACCTGAAAGAAATGCAGGAGTGTGCACCGCTAATTTTTGTTGATTTGTTAGATGATCAAATGCTAAGTGTTCAATTTCATTATTTTCTAACATGCGGTGCTAATGGCTTTATTTACGTTGTCATCAGCCGCTGTAGACGGCAGTATTAAACACATTTACCATTCCTTATGTGGGGCAATTACTAATTACTAATTCGTAAATTCATACTACAAGTTTTCATTGTCTTTATTTTTGGTTGTAGAAAAAACAAAACACAGTTTTGTAGTATTTCAGACCATTAATTTTCCTCTTAACTGTCTCCAGAAAGCAGGATATGCTGACCCAGGCAAACTTAATTTTACATTGTTTTCCGGTAGTGTGTCGCCGGGTCGCCCTAAACTCTATTCACAATAACTTATGACTCTGATCTCCCTGCAGAAAACCCTCTACAAATTTTGAGTCATCGTGTTAGATCATCAATTCGTCGTCTTTCATCAGTCCACTTTAAAACTGTCCTTCTAACTTCACTCTCGTAAACTAACACTCCCCTCCACTAAACGATCACTGATTTCTCACAAGTTGTATTGCAGTAAACAAACGAGAACATGGTTATGCCTGGTTGCGTCTCGTCTGTCGTTCAACCTCCTCTTCAGTTGCGTTGTGCTACTTTCCTGCCAGCGGTCTTCACACGTCATGCGAGCGTTTCTTATTATCTCCTTGTGTGAATCAGTTCCTTCCTCACCCACCTCTGTGTATCACCTGTTTTCGTCAGACTTCCTGTAGGAGTTTCACCCCTTGCTCGGCAGCGTCATCACTGTACGGAAATTTCTGTTCCCAGGTATTGATGCAGCAGATGCCCAGCACCATGAAGGCGACGAAGGCAAAGGGGTAGAGCAGCACCCACCCGGTCCAACGGTCCTCTGTCAGCAGGAGCACCAAGTACGCCATATAAGACAGTCCCGCCACCAGGAGTAACAGAAACAGGAGGGAGTGAAGGTTAGTCTCTGTAGCCATTCCTCTGGCATCTGCGGTCGAGGGCTGTGGCCAACGACTTAGGTTACACTATGAGTGTCAGATACTTACATCCTATCTTTTTATGATTCGTCACAGTCAACTTATTACTCACTTACAGTTTGTACCCGGACACAGTGACAGTTTCGCCTAGAAAAAAGTTACATTAATAACCTCGGTTTACGGGAGTAGATAAGGCAATATTCTGGATTTTACTTGTAATCTTGCGTACATTTAAACTATAACCTTTGACCATCATTAGCAACACTAAAGTCTTGTGATGTAACACTTAAGGAAGGTCCAAACAACCTTCCAGATCCTCGGGCGTCGCTGGAATTCCAATCCTGATTCATGGTTTGAACCATACAGAGGTTTACAGTGGGTTCTGGGCAGTTGTTCTACGGGGCCGGGACAGCTGTTCTATACTGGGGTCCGAACAGTGAGACAATCACCTGTTGAGTAATGAGATAAATACATTTCTTAATACCTAACCTCTGGCTACACCTGGTACACACCCCGACACATCCATAAAGAACAACTCTCTCCTGTTAAACCGAATATTGATTAATGCTGGAAAAAGTGAACCGTGATTTTTATGATTATTAAATGATTTTCATGAGACTCTTCCTCTCCCCCCCCCCCTAAAAATAATGCTGAGAGAGAGAGAGAGAGAGATCATCAGTTCGCTGTGAAATTGAATACCTATTATGATTATTATTGTCACCAGTCCTTACCTGTTTGATGATGGAGTCATGTACAAGGCGAGGCGTGGATTTCTCGAAGGCTCTGCCAGAGGTTCTCTACGGCGAGGCTTTGCGTACTTGTATTACCTCAGTGACAGTCTGCCGTTAATGAGGCTGCACACGTTATCTTACCTGGTGCAAAGAGATAAGGTTACAATAACCAACTACACGAGGTGTTATCAGTATTAAATATTGCGGTAGATTAATATACATAGACAGATATAGACATAGTGATGCAGTGATTAGCATAGATTTAAGTATGGGTATACATAGATAGACATTAACATAGATTTATCAGTACGTATTTATATTTGGACATAGATAAAAGGTTAGACAGACTGATTGATTGATTGAGAGAGATGTATTGATAAATGGGCAGGTGTATCATATTAAACTTTATATATCCTGTTATCTCTCATAAACTCAACACTGCTTCGATCATTTATGGGATTTTACCAAGCGAAAGATTTCATTGAGATAACTTACGTTCTCGCTCTTTCTCTGATTTATTCTACCTGTATTTCTCTTTCTCATCCACTTATAAAGAGAAAAATAAGATAGCTCAACTTACTGTGGTTCTTCCATGGGTAGTTCTCGTTTTCTAAATGATTGTTTTCGTTTTCTAAATGATGGATCTCTTTATCTAAACAATCAATACTTCTGATGGTTGACTGAGTTTTTTCCTTCCTCCCACACTGAGCTATCAACCACGACGTGAGCACGACTGAGACGCCAGTAGGACACTGCCTGCAGCTACCCACGCTGTTTATAAACCCAGGCAATGAACGCATCCCATAAGTGTTGCCAGATCAACTTTTAAAGGCATACACGTACAGCTCTTGTCAAGACACAGCACAGGAAGCTAAAAATTAACCACTGGGACCTAGACGTTTTGTAGTGGTGACAGGGTGGCAGTACATTATTTTATTGTTGACCGATTTACTTTTATTTAACCGCCCTATCTCTCGCTGTTTGGTTAGGTTAGGTTAAACCAATAAACCTTCCGACCAATAAACCTTTAATTCAATGGACTTATAAACCACAAAACCTTCATAATAATAATAATAATAATAATAATAATAATAATAAACACGTACTAAGATTCACAACACATTAACGTCCACTAAAACAGTTAAATCATGATCCAGGGCCAATTAAGTGCCGTAAATTTTAGTTGTACTCCCAGAGGTAAACATAAATATCTGTACCATTATTTCTTTAAGCGTATAAAGCCCTCGGAGGGAGAAAATGGTTGGAATTTGCCACCATTAGTTTTCGCATCATAGAAAATCGGATTTTCTATATCGGAAACTTCGCTAATTGGAGGACACACCAAGATGTTGCGCGCTCTCTCTCTGTTTTGTCTTTCTTTCTCCCTTTTCTCTCTTTCTCTCTCTCTCGCACTCTTTTCCTTTCTTTCTCCCCTTCTCTCGCTCTTTGTTTCTCTCCTCCTTTCTTTCTTTCTGTCCATGAATTAGTGGTAATGTTTTCATTCCTGTGGTTTTGTTTCAGTCAAGGTAATTTTTTTTGATGAGGGGAAGTGAAGGGGAAGGAGCTAGAGAAGAGTGGTGATGAATGAGGGAAGAGGAGAGGAGGAGGAGAGGGATGGGGAGGAGAAGAGGGATAGAGAGGAGGAGAGGGTTAGGAAGGAGGCAAGGAGGGTGTTTAAGAGTTATGGGGAACTGAGTAAAGATTAGATGGACTTGAGAGAAGAGGAAGAAGGGAATGGAGAGAATAAGGTGAGAGTAGAAGGGGAGGATGAGGTAGAAGAGGGTAGAGGAGGTTAACAAGATGAAGATTGGAGGGATGAAAGAAGGGGAGGAAGACTCGAAGTATTGAGAAAGGAGGAGAGGAAGTGGTAGGGAAGAGGAGGAAGAATGATATAGAAATGAAAGGAATGAGAAGGAATGGAAGAAAATAAAAAGAGGAGGAGGGAAATAGATGGAATGGAAAGAGGGATATGCAAAAGACAAAGGATAGAAGGAGGTCTCGAAAGGGAAGATAGTTGATAAGATTAATATAACGAGAGGTAAAGAAGACCCCGTGTGAACAAGGTGCAACAGTGGATTGACCTAACGACAGTCTAGTTAGCCAGTAAGGTGACAGAGACGAAGTGGGTAAATACATGGAGAAGTGAGACAAGTTTCCTAGGTGTAGTGGAGAAGATATTAAGTCTTGTCGTGCGTTGATACACTCCAGGTGAACCATACGTGCGTTGATACATTCCAGGTGAACCATACGTGCGTTGATACACTCCAGGTGAACCATACGTGCGTTGATACACTCCAGGTGAACCATATGCAGGTGTTGATACACTCCAGGTGAACCATACGTGTTCCATACGATACATTCCAGGTGAACCATATGTGTGTTGATACCCAGGTGAACCATACGTGCGTTGATACACATTCCAGGTGAACCATACGTGTGTTGATACACTCCAGGTGAACCATACGTGTGTTGATACGGTGAACCATACGTGTTGATACACTCCATAGGTGAACCATACGTGCGTTGATACACCCAGGTGAACCATACGTGCGTAGACATTATTCCAGGTGAACCATACGTGCGTTGATACATTCCAGGTGAACCATACGTGCAAGTTGATACACCCAGGTGAACCATACGGGCGTTGATACACTCCAGGTGAACCATACGTGCGTTGATACACTCCAGTTGAACCATACGTGCGTTGATACACTCCAGGTGAACCATACGGGCGTTGATACACTCCAGGTGAACCATACGTGCGTTGATACACTCCAGGTGAACCATACTTGCGTTGATACACTCCGGTGAACCATACGGGCGTTGACACACTCCAGGTGAACCATACGGGCGTTGATACACTCCTGTAGAAGGTGAGCGAGGGGACGTGTGAGGGCCAGATATGACCCCAGATGAGTGAGGGGACGTGTGAGGGTCCGATATGACCCCAGATGAGTGAGGGGAGCGAGCGAGAGACAACACCTCCCGGGAAAGTTAAGCGGTAGTCGGCATCCTCAACTGTGAGTGTTGGGAGCTTGCAAGAGGCTCAGTTCATCTCTGGCCGTCGCGGTAGTCGGACGTGCGAGTGGTGTGCTCTGGTGTGGGAGGGCGTGTGTATGTATGTGTCGGGGAGGGTAGTGTTAACTGCAAACGATAGTAATGGTAGTTTTTAATATTTGCCGTGTGCTGTGGTAGGTAGGGAAGGAGGGTGGGTGGTATTATTTTGTGGTTAATAGTTGTTATTGTACATATTAAGAGATATTATAGAGGTGAGGTGGGAATGAAAAACATATATTTTTTATTTAATTTTCCTGTTATCTATTCACCGTGAGGGAGTGGAGGTCTGTGACGTGATCAAAGGAGTGAAAGATTTTATAACAAGAAAGTAATAATCGTGTGACAGTTTCCGGTGTGTAAAAACATATTAGTATAATTTAATTCATCCATTCCCGAATATATATAAAAAATATCTACATATACTTAAAAAAATAATATATACAAATCTACTGTAAATATAACCGTCAATATTATTCATTAGAGACATAAAATAAAATTTCAAACAGTGATCGTAATTGACAGAAATCCACAGAGAACGAAGAACATGAAAAAATGAAAGAACAAAAAATTGAAAATGGTAAGGATGGTGGGTAAGGGTCTGGTGCAGTAAGCTATCTGAGTGGTGTTTGTAAACATTGAGTGATGCAGCGTGGAGAGTGAGTGACTAGCTTACCTCCGCCGCGTGATGTGTCCTCCCGCCCACTACACTCCCAAAATTGATGGACAAGACATGTGGAGGATAGGTGAGTGTGTTGGAGGATAGGTGAGTGTGTTGTTGTGTTTGTGTGTGTGTGTGTGTGTATGCCTGTGGGGAAACACCTGTTGTCACCCCGCCCGCCCGCCCGCCCGCCCGTTGTTGACTCGTACACCTGTTAATTGCTAATTCTACCTGTTCTTTAGAGTGTGTGTGTGTGTGTGTGTGTGTGTGTGTGTGTGTGTGTGTGTGTACTCTCCCCTCAGTGTTGATTTTAGAACTTTTCCCCGTTTATAAGCTCACGCGTTATTAGCCAACTTTAATTTAATATTATGGAATTTATTACTGTTTATTTTTTTAAGTTACCTCTATTTACTCTTATTAAGTTTATATTTAATATTTTCTTAACGTATCATTGTTTTTATCTTAGTGTTGTTTATTTACTTGTTATGTTGAGTATAATTTATATATGGCAGGTGTTTTGGGTGTTAGTCGTTACCATGACAACAAACGACCCGAATAAAAAAAATGAAAATAAAAATTCTTGTAAATTCGAAATGCAACAAAGGGTCTTAACTTTATTTTAGATTCTCTCTTATAACACCCTCCCTCCCCCCCTCCCCCCCCAAAAAAAAATAAAAACGTATATAGTTCATAAATGCGAAAACAAATAAAATTCTTTTGTTAGGGCAAAGAAAAGAGCGAAAAGGCAACAAAAATATTAAGTGATTAATAATTTTGGAATTTCTCTTGTAAATGAAAAAAGGTGATTTCTATTACGAAGCAACAACAATAACAATAACAACAATAACAACAAAACTACAGCAACAACAACAATAAGACAACAACAACAACAACAATAACAACAAAACGACAACTAGACAACAACAACAAAACAACAACAACAAAACAACAACAACAACAACAAAACAAACACCAAAAACAAAACACCATAATGATCTACTGTAAGAATTTTTTTTATTTCCTCTTATTAATAATATAATTTTTTAATATACCTGACACAGCAAAGATTTAAATAACTTTTTATTTATTTAAGTAACAAAAATGTGAAATTGCTTTACTATATACGATAAAAAAATGCTTAATTCTACCTTTTGAATTATACTTAAAAAGATCAAATTAATATGTTTTTAAATACTGAACGACTATGACTTACGTGTGTGTGTGTGTGTGTGTGTGTGTGTGTGTGTCCTTACGCCATTCACCTCCGTCTATCCAGCAGTATTTGGGAACCTGGATATTAATCGATTTGCTGATCGTGTTCTGAGGGTAGGCCCTATTGGTTAGCCAGTGCAGTCAGCTAGTTGTCCGGTCTTCATTGAATTATTCCTTGACACTGGGTCATACAGCTCGTTAACATAGGGTGTGGTTGTTGTGTTGGCGACAGCTTCTACACCTTTAACAAATTGACGCCTAGGTGTCTGTGAGAGAGAGAGAGAGAGAGAGAGAGAGAGAGAGAGAGAGAGAGAGAGAGAGAGAGAGAGAGAGAGAAAATAATGACTTGCCAACAGCTGAACAACAACATATATTTTCACTCATTACCGTCAAGAGACGTCATTTAACACGATTCCCTTATGGGCATGGCTAATTAATGTTCTGTTTAATCATTAGTATATTGAGAAGTTAAATAAATGATTCATTAATAAAAATATACTCTTAATTACATCTGACAAAGTTAACAGCATATAACGGACAGTATATAGCGGACAGTATATAGCGGACGGTATATAGTGGATTTGGGGCCTTTGGAAATAAAGAACCGTTTTCTATTTTTTTAATGGTAAGTTTGGCTTTTAATCATAACACTTCATTTACATATTGATGAGTGGATGGTGTGAGGTGCTTGTCTGTCCGTCTGTTTGTCTGTCTACCTTTATATCTGTCTAACTGTCTGTTTCAGTCTACCACACCTTCCCTCTTTACTCCTCCCACCTACCCCTCTCACCCGTCCCCCCTACCCCACCCATCCCTCTCCCACCATCT